TTGAATACTTCTTGGTTGAATTAATGTGAGAAGGTGTATATGAATTTTGGGTTGTAGATTATCAGTAACAACAAACTGAAGAGTGCTGAACATAGAGCTCTGACGAACTCTAAGGATGCCAGGACAACTGCAGATTTCTTCATAACTCTTTCTGACAATAGAGCTATAAAGCCTGCATAAGCTTTGGCTGATCCTCCACTCTACAGATCTTCTGAACACAAGGATTTCCTTATGTATTACATTTCCATTACCGGGGACACTAAATTGGTTCTAGAACCTTTTAAGATGCAAGCATAACACATTGATATTTTCATGATGGGAATTGAAAGGAAATTCTCGACATTTTCCATTTAATAAAACACTACATATGTGAATCTTATTATGTACATTCTATATGATTGTTCAAGTGAGTTTTCTATATCCATTATGTTCTTTTGACATTATTAAAATGCGTAGTAATACTTAAAAAGATAATTCTGTTAATCAAATACCTCTTTAAAATAGTCAAAAAGGTAGCGAAAATGGGATTTGAATGTGGCCTCGTATATATCTTGAACATTTGTATCCCAAACTCCAGTATCTAAGAATAAATGTTTCAGATATCAAACTCAGTCCAATGTATAGAGTAGTGAGAATCTGAGTTTATCCATTAGAGTATGACATGTCGACCTTGGTAAAACTTCAATGGATGAAAAGGATTTAGCAAGTAGATGAAGGCGGCATTGTAATGGGCCAAGGATTCTTAATTATGAAACTTGATAAATAGCTAAACTATAAACTTGGGCCACTCCAATAGGTATGAGAATCGGTGTCTGTGGACTACTGTTTATCATTATAAAGTTTAAACTTCCAATTTTGGGCAATTAAAAATCTGGGCTACCCACTTGCCCTCCATAAGAAACTGAAAATGAAAGAAGAAGGGAAAGAAACCCGAGAGAGAAGAAGAGAATAGAGGAGAGAGAAGGAAAAGAGAGAAGAAGGTGAATTGAGGATTAATGACTGTTGAGGCTAAAAGAGCAGTAGAGAGAGCTTGTTAAGCAGCCTTCTTGATAAGAGATCTTGTTTGCATTAAATGTACTCTAGTAGCCTAGAGTGGAGCCATATTTAGCTCAAGATGAAATGGAACTTCAGGAATAGTAACAATGCTATCAACTGATACAGGTGTGTGTGACCGGAAGAAATTAAACTTGAAGGATCTGTAAAAGAACCACTACCTGAAGAATCACTAGAACAAAAAAGAGGCAGTCATTGTGTGTTGAGAACTATGCTCTGAAACAGGAGAATGCTGACTTGAAGTATGAGTACTAACTGGAGAATGCTTAAAGTAGGGAATAGGGCTTGGAATTCTCCTCCATTATCTGATTGAAACTACTTAAGGGGAACTTGAAACTGTTTCTCAACTATAACATTAAATTGATGAAAAACATATACGGTAAAACTTCTCTATAGTCATAATGTTAGGACCAACTAAATTTATTATTATTAGGAGGTTATAAATTAATAGAGTTGTAGTTATGATAATTATTTTTTTATTCAAATTTTTTATTTATTTTATAATTAATGTTTTAGTAGTATTATGATTTTCATTCATGTTTTAGTAGTATTAAGATTTCAATTCATTATTTTAGTAGCATTAGGATAGTATGAAAATGGATATCAAGGAGTTATTGAAGAATTAAGTGATCAGATTGAACAACTTCACTACATTAATCAAATGAATATTAATGTGTCTCAATCATCTAAATAAGTAACAAGTCATGTATGTTTTAACTAAAGAAAAAAATTACTAGAATTAGACAAGAAGAGAAAGACGATAATCCTGAGGATGATAGTACGAAAATATCATAAGTTTCGTGTGAAGAATCTCTAAACATACTTGAGAAGTTAGAAATATTTTGGCTTCAATAAGAAGGTGTCCACGTTGGCGACTTATTATGTAACCACAAGATAAAAGATATGGTAACAACTCTATAGTATAAATCATTTTCAAATAACTTTAGATAAATATTTTATTTCATTTTAAACCTTTGATGTAACATAATATATATTTTTTGCAATATACATGTAATTATTACTATATAGAGGTAAGTTTTTTAAGACGAGATCTAGAAAAATTATAACTTATTATAATATGAAATTTATTCTTATTTATAACTGGCCCTAATTGGGACCAGAATTTTTTTATGACTATATAAAGGTGGGTTCTACTGTATATAAACTTCTTTTTCTCTTGTATGTGAGTGATAGCAAATCATAGGGCAAATTACTTCCATTGTAACGAGAGAGGTGAGTTAGTATTACAATAATATTGACTTTACTAGATATAGTCTATTAATTGGATGAACCAGGATAAATCGCATGTATATGTTATTTCTCTTTACTATTTGTGATTTGTGTGTGTTTTACTGTTTTGATTTCGTATTACTCTAGATTATTCCAGTTATTGAAAAAAAAAAAAAAAAAAGGGTAAGTCAGTAATTAACTTTTTGGGCTCATGCAATACGAGATGTTATAGGAAGTCTTATTCATCGCCTAGGCGATGAAATAATGAGATGTAGACAAAGACAAAAGTAGAGTGACTAGTAGTCACCATAACCTATTGTGTTGATAGAAGCCTATTGACTTGTAATTTATTTAACGTTTTCTTGAGAAGAATTTTCTCTTATCTCTTCAGGAGGTGTTGGGTGGTTCTCATTTGTTTCCCTGGACCAGCAATCAAGCTATAGTCAGTTGACTCAGCTTCTCTCTACAAGTTACCATGGCAGCTTGTGGGAGCTAAACTAGAATCCCAAACTTGAAACAACTGTTTCCAAACCCAGGATTACAAACCATCAACTAATTGACTTAAATTCCATAGTAAATGACAAAAAAGAAGAAACAATTAACAACATGATTATTTCCAACGCCCCAACTTGAATTTGTCCCCATCTCTCTTACCACTTTCTCTCTAATTTACCACTTCCAAGACGTCTGGCCCCACTTACAAAAAAGAAGTCAAGCATCTAAACCAAAATTCCACCAAGTAATGCACTCCGACAAGGATATATAATAATAATTTTGCTAATCTAGTGGGTTCATAAAGTTCACCCTTCCAAGACGTTTTGCAAAATAAATCAAGCCTCTTAACCTTCCATGACGTTTTGTAAAAGAAGTCGAGCATCTAAACTAAAATTCAACACCGATATATGATTTGCTAAGCTGGTGGGTTTATAAAGTTCTCCCTCCCAAAACGTTTTGCAAAATAAATCAAGCCTCTGAACCTTCCAAGACGTTCTGCAAAAGAAGTCAAGCATCGAAATCAAAATTCAACAAGGATATGTAATAATTGAAGAAGAGTTTGCAAACAAACAATAATCTTAACAATAAGTCTCTCTTCTATCAAACAGAACTGGACTTTAATAAGAAAATGGGATCTTGGAAGTAGGTAGATAGGTCCTTTTTATTAATTTGAGGATAAGTTTGAAGTAGTTGTGGAGGACTTGAAATGCATTAAAAGCTGATTTCTCGCTAATTTTTCCACAAATCACAGTGCCCACAAATTTCCATGTAAAAGCTAATTTCTATTCTAATTTTCACAGCCGTCAAATTATACAGTAAAACCTCTCTATAGTTATAATATTGGAATCAGTAACGGATTCAGAATTTTTGTCCAAGGGGCCTCCACTGCTCTGCCATTATTTGCCAAATAACTAGTGAAAACTTTCAAAAATCACCAAACCTTAATAATAATAATAATAAAAAAAAATACAATATTAAGAACCTGAGAAAAAAGAATATACAATAACACAATATTTTCTTACTTGAATAAATCTATGAGAAGCAAAATTTTGAGTAAAAGTGTTAAATAAACCTTAAACAAAACCTTCTTTTAATATTTTTTTTTTCCTTTCAAAGATTATAGTATAAATTTTTATAGCATTGATCAAACCTAGCCAAATTAAGCTAAAGTCAACCAAAACTTAAATCAAGTCAACGTTGCGTTGACTTTTAATATGAATTAATAAAAGAGGGGAAATTTTTTTAGTATAAATATAGATGGTAACTCAAATTTCTTTAATAATTTTGAACAACTGAACGGTGACGTTTAAAATGTAGGAAAGTGGTGCGTGAAGAGTGAAGAATAACGTCTTTAAAATATAGTTAAGGTTTTAATTTGAGAAAATAGATTCATTCTTGGACAGAAAATACAAAATAAACTCACAAGATTTATATCTTTTTCTCTCAAATTAGAATAAAAAACCTCAAAAAGAAAAAAAAATGATTCATTCCTTAAATAAACTAAATTGAAATGAACAATACACATACCTAAAATCGATAATATAGAAAACGGAGCAAATTATGATACCTTGAGTAGTGAAAATTTAACAATTTTAGTCTTCAAGAAATTTAAGAGCGAATAACATGAGAAAGAGAAAGAGAGAGTAAAGAATTTGAGGATAAAATCATAAAAAAAAAAAAAAAAAGGTAAAGCCATGTAGAAAAACACTGGAGAGAGTTTCAAACTTTTAATATAATGTGGGTTTAGAATATATATATTTTAATAACAAGTTTTTTTGTAGACCTAGATATACAGTATGTATAATAGTTCTTATTTTTAAAAAATGGTATGTATAATAGTTCTTCTTTTTTTAAAATCCGAAGGTGGGTCTGGGTATATATGTTAATTAACAATTTTTTATGGCCTATATATTAATAATTTTTTTTCAAATTTGGGCTGAATCCGCCCCTGGTTGGGACTGTTGACCAAGGTTGACTTTTTCATTAAGGACAAAACTGTAAAAAGGAGAAACGGTGTCGTTTCTCTCTTTACTTTCCCTTTTGCTTTCTTCTTCCTCTCTTTCGTTTACTCACTTCTTTATATAAAAGTGAGTTGAGCTTGTTTGTAACTGTTCAGCTAATCAAGAAATACAGAGCATTCTTCTTCTCAAATTCTTCATTTTCTTTCTAATTTTACATTCTCTTTGAGTTTCACATGGTATCAGAGCCAAAGACTAGCGTCAATGGCAAGAATTCATGATCATAATCTCTCTAACAAAAGTGCAGAGAAGATGTTTAACGGCTCCAGTTTTCACTCTTCGATTTTCAGCTCCAGTCTTCAAGTCATTACGCCAAAATTAACCAGAGACAATTACCGAGATAATTATCGGTTTTGGAGATCTCAAGTTCTCTCCACAGTTGGTGCTCACGATCTTGAAGAACACCTAACAAGTTTAGTTTCATGTCCTGAACCTCTTATTGATTCAGATGATGAATTGAAAGAGTTAAGCTCAAATAAAATTAAAGAAACCCTAGGAAAAGAAAGGATTAATCCAGAGTATATAACCTGGAAAAAGACAGATAAATTTCTTGTCACATGGCTTTTAGCATCAATTTCAGAATGCATGTTCAGTCAAGTATCGAAATGTAAGTTTGCTACTGACATCTGGTTTACACTGGAAAATGAATTTTTGGCTGATTCTAAGGCTAGAGCCCTGCATCTGAAAAATCTGCTTCAAAATACACAAAAAGGCAATATGAATGTTAGTGAATATGTTAAGAAAATGAAAGGGATTGCTGAGAGCTTATCATCCAGTGGTCAGGTTGTCACAGATGAAGACCTATTACAGTATGTTTTAGATGGATTAGGACCAGAGTTTGATGCAGTGGTGGTTAACTTGACATCCAGAATTGAATCCAAGTTTGATTCAATAACGTTACAAGAAGCTCAGTTTCTGCTGCAAAAGTATGAANTTATCGGTTCTCTTCCACATAATGTAACTCGGATTAATTTTGTCCTTAACTGTATCATTCTTAACCCTAAGTTCTCCACTCAGTTGACTCAACTCATTATCAACATTCATATCAGACAAAATTAAGGGAGAAGGACATGGAATTTTACCGAGCAAGTGGTCCTCGAGCTCATGCGATCCTACAGCAAACAGAACTTGCGAGCTCCAAAATCTGTAATTATCTCGAGTAAGTTTTGGATTTATCACCGGTAGACTTGAAGCCACCGAAGACGACGATCGACTTAACACTTCCTTCAGCATTTCCTCAAGGCTATTAGGCAGAGGATTTGAGCTTAAATCAGGATTTTTAGCCATCGACGTTAGTCAAGGCTCTGATACCATGTGAGTTTTGATAAGAATCGAAGAAAAGCTTAGGTAAATTGAAGAGAAGATTTGATTCAATAACAGTGTAAAAGCTTTTTTGTTTCTCAGCTCACTTTACTCTTTTATATGTGAAAGAGAAAGAGTGAGTTGAGTTTACAATTACGTTTAAATTGAAGCAGGTGTAGTTAAAACTACACCGTTTCTGTATAATTTCACACAAGCCCTCATACATTTGACAATTATCAAACAACACCCAGTTTGTACTATATTCTAACACTTAAACCTATCGAACTGAAATTAGATGTTGAAGACCAGATTCAAAATTGTGAGGAAGGTCTGCCCTTGAGTCCAATTGCTCGTCTGTGTCAACAACCTGACTCAAGGATCTACATCATTGTCATGATTGGCATGAAAACAAAAATGAACCCAGAAGTTATTGAAGCAAGCTTAGTGCATACTTTCTCCAGCAGCCTCGTTTCTGTAGCTTGCAGGTAACTAACAAAACCATAAATTTGAACCCTCAAACTATAAAGTATAAATTTGTATATCTCTTTTATTGGAAATTGTTATGTGTCAATGTTCTCATTTTTCCAAATTACTTCTGTGTTGGTGAAGACTAGAGTCGAACATAGTTTTCCCAAAAAAGTTAACTTTATTTCACCTATTTTGAAAATAGTTTTTTAAATTATTTAACTTTTTTAATCTCCCTAAATTTATTAATTTAACTAAACAACCCCTAAAAAAATTTTTGGAAGTTGACAAAAACACCCCAATAACACAAATTTACCAGATTCCGGCCATCACTATCGAAAGCTGGCCGAAATCTGGTATAATTGCGTACTACCGGTTGGATATGGCCGGAAAAAGGTCAAATCTAAGGCTAAAAAACTGGCCGTCAACGGCCAGATCTTCGGCCTTAGACAATCGTCAACGACGGCCAAGATATGGTCATGCACCGATAAGGCAACTCCAGCCATCCTCCGGTGGTGGTGGCTGGCTGTCCATATTTAAAATCCAGATTGGGGGTGTTTTTGTTAACTTTGAATATTTTGTTATAGGGGTGTTTAGTAAATAAATAAACATAGGCGTATTTATGTTAATTTTTTAAATTCTACATCGTAATACCCACCCAATTTAACTTTTTTCAAAAGATTATTCTAAAAACTACCCAATAATGAACCAAACGGAGCCTTAGTCTTGTTGTATTTACCGGTGTTCAGTAACTGATAAAGAAATGAATTCATGTGACTTTGTATTGCTAACTTGACTACAATGGCAGGTTGAAGATGACACAGTCAAAGGGGGGCTAAAATGGGTTAATCAGAAAGAGGTGAATTTAGACAATCATGTTATAGTTCCAAATCTGGATATAAATAATATTGAATCACCTGATATGTTTGTGGAAGATTACGTCTCCAACCTGAGCAAAACTGGAATTAAAATGTCGATGCCAATGTGGGATGTCCATCTCCTCAACCTGAAAACCACTGACGCTGAATCCGTCGCTGTTTTTCGAGTTCACCACTCCCTCGGTGATGGAATTTCGCTTATGTCTCTTTTCCTTGCTTGTACTCGTAAGATTTCTAACCCAAACAAACCTCCCACAATTACAATAGTTAAGAAAGTAAATCCCAGCAAATCCTCTGGAGGGTTTTGGGGAAAATTCATCAAATTATGGTTGGTTATCTTGCTCTTTTGGAACACTCTTGTCGATGTTTCCATGTTTATTGCTACCTCATTATCTCTCTTAAATGATACTAAAACGTCCCTCAAGGGTCCCTTGAGCCAAACTCGGCGATTTGTTCGTAGATCAGTGAGTTTGGATGATGTCAAGCTCGTAAAGAACACAATGAATACTGTAAGTTGCTTATGAAATTATAAACATAGCAATAGTGATTTGATATATCATTTAACATATAGGTTAGATGTATCAAGTCAAACTTGTGACAATGGTTTTAAAATGTTATAAATTTATTAATTAAGATATGATTGCCTTTAATTAAGAGTACTTAATTGATTTTAAACTTGTCTATTTATTAAGAGTACTAATATGATTTAAATTTGTTTATTTATTAAAGCATGTTCAGAAATGTTTCTAGCCACATTAATTGGCATAAAAAACATAGTAATCCTCTCTAATTTTTTTTTTCCTGTTTTGCAGACAATCAATGATGTTATGCTAGCGTCACTCAAGCAGGCTTATCTCGTTATCTCAATCGAAAATATGGTGTGCTTGTAACCTGAAATCTGGTTTCTCTTTATTTAAGCTATACACATATACAGTCAAAATTAAAAAAAGAGCCAATTCCATGAACGAAATAAAGAAGCAACAGGAACAAATAATAATAATTAAAACAAAACAACAGTAAACAAAGAAATTATACCGCGATTTAACCGGTTCACCCAATGTGGGCTACGTCCAGCTGAGTCAATATTATTAAATATGCCTCACCTCTCTCGTTACAATGAATGAATTACTCTCACATCATAACAAGAAAAATATCTATATATACTATTTAAGAGATTAACACCGTTTTACATGGATTCCTATTCCTAAGCCCAACCAAAAAAGAATTAATAACTTAAAAGAAATCCTCAGCGGTTATACATGGAAAAGCCCAAAACCGCCTACGGGCTCGGGGCGATGCCCCCGCGACCCCCGCCCGCTCACCGAGTGCGTCTCGTTACCCATTAATGCTGAAGTAGTCGACAACTCCAACATTCCATACCTAATTTATAATTAAAGAAACATTACAGGGGAGTGTCACACAGATCGATAAAGGAGTGTCAGAAAAAACAACAATCTTCCACTAATATTCGACTTAGAGCAGCCTTTGCCATGAACCTTAGAAAACCTCAGATCCAAGTAAGTATAGAATTATGTTAATTAGTCAATTTTAATTAGTTGTTATACTCTTCATGATATCAGAGCCACAAACTTACGTCATGGCTGATTTTTCTTACTCTTCAAACACTTTTAAGAACTTCTAGAAATTCTCTACAAAACTTAAGAATTCTCTAGTTTCAACTTAATTTCCTACTTCCCAACCTTCGATTGGTGATAAACTGATTGAAAAGAATTATAATTATGGCACTTTCAGTGTTCCCGCTCTAGCTTCTCTTGAACTTGAAGATTTTGTTATGGCTCCTAAACATATCCTCCTCCTTTATTAATTGTTGCAAAATCTGAAGATCTGAAAAGGCAATCAGAAAATCTAATCTGATTATTTATTGTGGCAGCGAATTGATCAAGTTTTAATTAGCTGGTTACATACTTAGTCAAGCTCACTGATTTATATATATATTTACATAGTAAATTTCACTGTATTTATGAATATTATTAACTCTGCATTAAATGTAGGAGCTCGATGTTATGATGAAGAAGGATCTAAAGCAAGGTGGGGCAACATGATGGGTTATTTGTTTACCCTTTCACCATTGCATTACGAGATGATCCATTAGATTACCTTCGAGAAGCTAAGGCAACCATGGATAGGAAGAAAGCTTCTCTAGAGGCTTCTTTCTCATATTTCTTGGCTAAATGTTTTATCAAGTTTGGTGGTGTGAAGGTATTATAGTTCTTTTAAACCTCTTTCTTTTGTTTGGTCTATACTCATCCTTTTAGCTGTGATTTTATTTTCGACTCTTAATTTTCATATTTTATATATATATATATTATTATATTACCTTCGAGAAGCTAAGGCAACCATGGATAGGAAGAAAGCTTCTCTAGAGGCTTCTTTCTCATATTTCTTGGCTAAATGTTTTATCAAGTTTGGTGGCTTGAAGGTATTATAATTCTTTAAACCTCTTTCTTTTGTTTGGTCTATACTCTATCTTTATCTGTGTTTATTTTCGACTCTTAATTTTCAATATATATATATATGTGTGTGTGTTGTGTGTGTGAAAACCTTTCATGATTGATCAATCGTGAACGCAGTATGGTAGTTTCCCAACTCAAACGACATTGTGGTTCTCAAAGTAGTAGGGCCAGAAGAAGAATCGGTTTTTCGGCTATCCAGTGGCCTATTGCTCCAAGTTGCTATGGGCAACCTACCGTAAGTATTTAAGCTCTAAACCTGCTATTTCTTTTGTGAAATGAATTTGTGCGAGTTAATTAATATTTGAATCAAAACTAGCTAGCTGACACTTACATTAATTGCAGGGATTACTGATTCATGTCCTTAGTTATGCCAACAAAATTACCTTCATCTTGTCAGTTGATGAAGGTATAATTCCTGATCCTAATCAGTTGTGTGATGATCTTGAAGAATCTTTCAACTCATCAAAAGTGCAGCCATTGCTAAAGGAATGTCTACGAATTAGATGTTCAATGTTATATTAAACGTGTGCATATATATACATGAGCAAATCAGTGTCATATTGCTATGTAACTCTAAATAAGTAAATTGCGAAAGCCACTAAATAAAGGGCTATTTATTGAATCCTTGTCAATTGAATTAATTGGATTTTGTATGCTATCAAGCTCTCAGGGGGAAGTCAGGAAAGAAGTCCGTGGTCTATAAGAATTATTGCAAAGGTAGAAAACAGAATATTGTTGATGTTAAGATGATAATTCTAATCGTTCTCTAACAAAAGTAAACGTGACATCAAGATTGAGGAAGCAAAATTTTGAATATTAATTACCATCATCTAGTTGAAATACGTAGATCCGGGATTTTAATTTAATTCTTTAGATTTGATACCATGTTAAATTGTCACTTGACCAAAAACTTAAACTAATATAGAAGTTGGGGCTCAACATTATATTTAGTTCAGTAATTACATATTCTCATTCATTTAGTATTTTACAAATGTTTTGTATGTGTATTGATTGGATTGTGTTTTTCCTTGGAATGATAACTTAACATGTCTATACCAGAGTCAAAGGTCTGAATTTCAATTCCACATTCAATTAGATAAAAAAATGAAAAAAAAAAAAAATTCAAGTTTTATGTGGGGGCCTCTTAGAGTATTAAATAATATTGAATCTTCACTACTCACTTGAGCTTGTAGGGTGGGATGACAACTTGGCCGTCACATAAAGTAGAAATTACTAAAATTAGTTTTTTGATTAAAATATGTATCCCAACTTTCACATACCTGATTTCTATTATATAAGGAGTGGGAATTTCTTAGCTTGAATGTGGGGCGATTAGAACCACTCCATTACAATAATAAACATCTAACACTAAGATCAATCAATTAAATATTTTTTAACAATTAATAGTACGTGATATTGTGGAAGGAAAAGAATTATTTAATCAATTAGCTAAACATATGCAATAGGAACTTAATGCAAAAGAAAGGTTTGACACATTTCCTGTAATTTTAAAGACTTTGCTCATTTCCTTTAATATTTTCTTAACATTTTTAACCACCTTAAAAAATTAATTTCAGTATTTTTTTTTTATTCACCTTTTAAAATTATATTGTACTCTTTTAATTATGTGGTTGTACATCATGGTATGATTTATCCTTTATGTTGTACTTATTCATTAAATTTTTTAATTGCTCTTTTTAAAAAAAAAAAAAATCAAAACATTTTAGTCTGTTAGAAAACCTAGTTAAGCAGCTTCAGACTACTTGGGCAAGGGACCGATCCCTTGCGGCCCAGGCCTGGGCCTAGTTGGGACCAGTCTCTCATGGGCCTGGGACCAGGACCCGACCAGACCTTAGGCCTGATCGGACTGGTCCCATGGGGTTTGAAAATTTTTATTCCCCCCCCCCCCCCCCCCCCCCAAATCTTTTTATATTTTGGGGCAAAACGAAATCTTATGGGAGTTTTTAGTATTTTTAGGGGTTGATTATAAGTTTCTAAAAATTTTAATAATAAATTAATAGTTATTTCAAAAAATAATAAATTAATAGTTAATTTTAATTTTAAATATATATATTCACACATTCACGCTTCACAAATAAACAATTAATATATTTTTTATTAAATTATTTATCTTCAATTTCATCGTCAACCTTTACATTATTCAAATCTTTATTCCTAAAGAGTTCCAGTAGTTCGGGATCTTCAGGGTGCTGTTGTAGTCTTCTTTCTCCATAAGTCCAATCCCGTAAACACGTTATCACTTCAATCATCTCATCGGTTTAAGAACATCTTCTGTCTTCAACAATCCGACCACTCGTTGAAAATGTGACTCGGATGCAATTGTAGAAACCGGCACAGATAAATGTCACGTGCCATTTGGATATAATGGGGAATTGACTTTCTTGTTGGTTCCACCATTGAAGAATATCCATGTCAAGTTGCTCCTTCATCGTCATAAAGTCAAGTCCACCTGTAGGTAGCGAGTCATCTCATTTGGTCTATGTATGTACGAGCTGGAGCTTCTGCCACGTCCCACATACGCCCACTTGCTCGATCCTTGAGGGGGGCTACATCAAGGTCCTGATCGCCCTCCTAGACGTTTCCTCCACTTCCACTTCTACTTCCATTGTATCTTTCTATAAGAAAAAAGTCTATCCACTTTGTGTTTAAGTCAGTCAATAAGACGTATAATCACTCCTAAATAATGACCTAACTCAGTAATTACACCGTCAACTATGGATAATTTAACCTAGGATCTAGAAAAAGGCTAATCCATATAAGAATGGAATATCTAACCAAATATCTCTTTATTTTCTTCCATACTTGAAACAATTTCACTAAAAATGTTATCATGTCTATATTGATCAAAAGTTTTAGCAATTTGAACTAAATATCTAACACTAAATTAGTAGTTGGATAATAAATACCACTTAATGTATTAGTAGCATCATAAAAAAATTTAAGAATGAATAAAAAAGTTCACAAATCGCCCAATCATCATAGTTGACAACTTCCTCTGATAGTTCTTCCGGTTGACGAAATCTGTAATTTGTTTCGCGGTTGGCAAAGCTTTTTCCAACATCAAGTAGGTAGAGTTCCAACGAATAGGCATGTCTGTACATAACTTCAAAGGTCGAACCGGTCCTCTTGCTTACAATATTTGACGTACTCCTGCCATCTTTTATTGCTACCGCCGCGACTATAAATCCAATAGCTCTACACACCCTCTCAATCTTTGAATGTATAGCATCTAAACTTGCTTTAACTATCAAATTGATGATGTGCAAGCACACATCTGGTGATAAAATTTGCCTTCACCAAGCGGATCCAATTCTTTTCAAATAAAGATATTGTCGCGGTGTTAGCAGCTGCATTATCAAGCGTTAGCGCTACAACTCTATCAGTTAATAAATATTCTTGCAAAACTTCAAGAATCGTAAAATAAATAGTTTTAGCACTATGTTTTTCATATAATGGTTTAAAACCTATCAATTTTTGTTGTAAACCCCAATTATGATCTAAGAAATGTACTGTACAGTTAAAAAATCAGTTTTTGATCTACAGCCCATATGTCTGATGTAAGTGCAATAGATATTCCTAAAATTTTAAATTCGTTTTTAAGTTTATTATTTATTTTGTTATAAGTTTTAGTATATCTCTTCATTTGTAGTTCTACTAACGGGTATATGTTGGACAAAATGCAGTTTTAACCATATTAACAAAAAAGGATTTTCATAAACAAATGGGAGAGTCCGTAGCAACTATATATCTTGCTATTTCCTCTCGTGCAACATGTGTATGTATTGCCATGTTGAGAGAGTTGAGGATGTGTGATTAAAATTAAGTTGAGTTTGAATTTGTCTACCTGATCCGCTTGAAGATGCATTTATTTGGGAGGCTTCTTCTCTACGTGTCGTCGCATCGTCGAAGTCCCCTTCTCAGCCCAATAATGGTTCCACATAAATTACATATCCCACACGATTCTTCCCCCTCCCCATTGTCTTTGGCCGTTTTGATTGGTGAAGTATCGCCAGACATCGAACACGACCCTCTTTGACGGTCAGGGGGGTTGGGCTATGTCCGTGCTCGTTGACTCGCAGCTCACATGTGTTTGCTACACCTCGTCCCGGCCGAATGTGGTTGTGGAAATACAGCTGCATCCTCTGGAGGAAATGGTGAAAATGGATTGAAGGCTTCAATTTCTTCGGTGGATGGAACGTACTCATTTGGGAAGACATTATAAATTTATGATAAAATATAATAATTAAATGAAAAGAAATTAAATAATATATGAAATTATGATTATATTGAAAATAGAAAAATTTGAATATATAATAAATTATAAATATAATTGAATGAAATTGATTGGAGTTTGGAAGTAGATAGATGAGAGAATGAAAGAATGAGAGATTGATTGGTGTGAAAAAAATTAAAGGTTTTAGGGTTATTTATAGTGTAGTTGTGGGGGGGAAAATGAAAAAAAAAAACTTATATTATATAAAAGTAACCGTTGGTGTCAGTTACCGTTGGCAGCCAATGGTTATAAATAAAAAATTTATAACTGTTGGTTGCCAACGGTTAAATTTTTTTTTTTTCAAATAAATTTTGTAAAATTTCATTTTAGTCCTAAATTTATACTTATTTTAGGGGGTTTAAATAATTTTACAAAGGACTAAATTGATAAAAGATAAAAAAAGTTTGGGCCCAGGCCCGGGCCTTGGAGGAGGGCCCGGTGGAGGGCCCGAGCCCTCCTCCTTAGGCCTGGTCCCGTTTTGGGACCAGGCCTCCTGGTACCGGTCCTTGGGAGGACCGGTCCTAGGACCGGTTTTTGGAGCTGGGCTTTTGGGCCCGGTCCCAAATGCCCAGCTCTACTTCAGACCCATCTATAATCAATTTCTTTTTTCCTTTTATAATTTTGTATACCTTACTCTACATGGGATTAATTATTGATATCACTAACACAATATTATGCTTGTGACCCTAAAATGAGATGTTAATTAATTAATTTTTAGGAAAGTAAAGCTATGAAAACGTAGACGGAAAATCGCGATCATGATTATATTGATTGTATGATATGTCAATTAAAAGTAATAGAATAAGGGGGAAAAAAAAGATATAAGTTTCAAATAATCATAGAATTTATGAGCAGTTAACAGTGAGTTACTATTACACTTGACAGCAGATTTGGGCAAATAAGTAATTATACAAGATATAAAGTAAAAACAAAAACAAAAATTAAAAAGTAAACAAAAAAAATATTTATCCAATCATATGCTGACACATAAGCTAAAGAAAATTCAAACAAGATAATTTCAAAAACCTTTAAAATTTAAAACTAAAAACTAAAAAAAAAAAAAAAAAAAACCACGCACGTTGGCCAATATCTTTGTACCCATATTAATCTCAAACTGGGTTTTTTTGTTTTGGAAATTGTTATCAATCTTTCTTTTTTTTTTTTTCCTTATCCTACTACTTTTTAATTGACATATCATACAATCAATAAAATCATGATTCGTTTTCTT